AGTCCCAGGAGGCCAGGCGCCAACCCCCTCCTCCCTCAGACTCAGGAGTCCGGGCCCCCAGCCCCCTCCCTCGGACCCCGGAGTCCAGACCCTTCAAGCCCCCTCCTCCCTCAGACCCAGGAGTCTGGGCCTGAGATTCTTCTGCGTACTTTTGCCAGTTAAGTGTCAATCCCCGGGCAGATTCCCACTCTCTGCTCTCATCCCCAGCTCTCCCAGGAGCTCCAGGCCAGACATTAACCAGCTGGGCTTGGGCAGAGATAAGGCCCGAGGCCCGAGGGGACGGTGGGGTGGATGTAGGGGGCTCTCCCACATTGTCGTCTCTGCTGGAATTTCCTGGGTGGGGACTGGGGACAGGGTCTTGTCCTGAGTTCAGATAAGAGAAATTCAAGGTATTACAGGACTCGGAGATAGACAAAGATATGATTTGGGAAGAGAATGAACTGCTTAGAGAAAGAAAAGGGATAGTGACAGATGAAGGGAGACTGGAAAAGGGACAAAAACAGAGAGGGGACAGACGCCAAGAGAGAGAGGGGGACAGAAACCCAGAGAGAGAAGACACAGACCCAGAGAAAGGTGGAAAGACACACTGAGGAAAGGGGACAGAATCCCACAAAGTGGACAGAGACCCAGAGAAAGAGAGACCTTAAGACAGAGGGAGATCAGACAGGAGTTGGAGTCCCAGGACAGACCTACCGTGGGGCCCTTCACCCCACCCCTGAGCTATTTTCAGGAGGAAAGCTGACACCCGCTTTGGGTGGGTGGGGGGGTCATCCCGTACCCCTCCCTCATCCTAAATATAGCATGGCAAGGGGGCAGGAAGGGTGTCCCCGGATTAGGGTGTTCCCCTCACCTCTTGCCATCCCAGCCAAGGCCACATAGAAGGCGGCCGCAGTTGTTTATTGGGGTGGGGGAGGGGCACTTCCCAGACTTTGAGTGTCCACTCAGGTCACTTCCCTGACCTCTCCATGCTTCCCGCATCCCTAAGCACCCAACGTGCCCCACCCCCCACCAGAGGATCTCTGTGGAATCTCCAGTCTCTAATGGGGTAGGAGGGGTGAGTTTTCACAGAAGAGTTAACTGGGAAACAGTCTCTGTCCCCACCCTCTCTCTCTGAGTCCCTATCCCCTCTTCTCTCCTGCTCTCCCAACTCCCCTTGGGCATCTCTGTCCTCTCGCTGGGTCTTGGGTCCCCTCTGCATGTGTCTCTTCCTCAGGTCCTTGTACTGGGCTCTGTGCCTGCTTCCCAGACTCTGCCTTGTGTCTGTCACCGTGGAAGGGGAGGCGGTCTGTCTCCGTTTCTGTCTCCAAATGTGCCTTCCTCTCCATTTCAGAGAGAAGTGTTATATTATTTAAAGGTTATATTATTTTCGACCTTTATCAAACTCTTCCCACAATCTGTCCCTTCTTCTCTTGCTCTGTGAAAAAGGTGGTTGGATTAAATCAGGGGGTTCCAGACTGAATTTCCTAGCTGCTTTCTGAGTTGCCAAGAGAGACTCCATGAGGGGGACGTCACCCTCAAACAGTTCCCTTCTGATATGACACTCTTGCTTCTAAGTAAGCTTTCATTTGACCAAAAAAGAAAGGGGGAGGGGGTTAGAGCTGAAAATAACAATGACAACTCTCTGTAAACCACTGAATGGATTTTAATAAATTTATACAAGTACTTTGAATAATACCTGCCACATAGGAAGTCCTATATGTGTTAGTGATTTAACCGTCCTCCTCGTCCTCCAAATGCCCTTTTAGTACTGAAAGATCTCTGAAAAGGTTTTGTGACCTTGGATAACACCCTGCCCTCTGAGCTTCGGTTGCCTCATTTGTGAGACGTGAAGCTGCTGGACTGGGGAGGTCCTGTGTGTACCGGCAGGCGGATGGGGACATATGGGGTCACGCGGCTGGCCACAAGTCTTGGCCCCCGGGGACATGCCATGGGACCTCGGGAAGCCACTCCCATGCTCTGAGAATCTGGTTTCTCCCCAGGAAAAGAGAGCGGGCCCTGCAGCTCGTCTGGCTGACTTCTTATGCTGCAGGAGGAGGGGGTGGCTCGCCATGATTTGGGATTCCTTTGTGATCCTATGGAAGAGAGACAGCGTTTCTCTTGGGTTCAGTTCGGGGGCACTGACTTCTTCTGCCTGTTTCTTTTCTGGTTCTCTTTCTCTGGGGTGCTCTGGTCTCTTTCCAACTCTGGGTCTCTGATCCTCTCTCTCTGGGTGTCTGACACCCGCCCCCCTGGGTCTCTATCTCCTCCCTCTGGGTCTCTGTCTCTTCTTTGGGTATCTCTTCTTTCTCTGGGTCTCTATCCCTCTCCAGCTGTCTGTCCCCCTCTCTTGAGTTTCTATCCCCCCATCATGTTGGGGGGGGACAGGGACAGAAACATTTTCTCCAAACAATTTCTACAAACACTTTCTCCCCATTTCCCCTGCCCTTGTGGCTCTGATCTCCATTCAAGAGTCTGTAAGCCAAACTCTGTGGAGAAGAGGTTTGAATGGCAAAACAAAGCAGGTGTGGGGTAAATGGAAGGAGCAGCTACATCTTCCTAGTTTATCCAGAGTCCCTGTGCATGAACACCTGAATCTACAGCCCCCAGCCCTGCCCCTTACAGTGAATGACACTGGGCAAGCCAGATCAGTTTGCCCACACACCACATTCGCTCCTAGATACATGATTCCTTCTCAGTGCTCTTATCCTTGGGTCCTGGTACTGCTACTAAATGCAAACACAAACCAACATGGCCCTATGGAGCTCGTACATACAGTTCAACTTAACCCAACATTCCTGCAGGACTCAACGATACAACTTGTAACTCAACTCAGTACGGCCCTATGAGACTCAAAACAGTTGTACTACCCAACTGAACTGGCCCCACAAGACTCACATGATTATACAACTCATTACTACTCAACTCAGCGTAGCCCTGAGAAACTTCCAGCCACATAACTCTACACAATTCAACACAACAGAACCCTGAAAGACTCCCATACATTCCAACCCAACTTAACCTAATGTGACCTAGAAAGCTCCCATTTTATCACTTGACTATTTGTATTTCTACGTAACTCACAAGTTCACAGAACCTAAAATAACATGGCCCTAGAAGGATCATAAAGCCACACGGTTTCCACCATGTCTCAACTCAACTCCACAACACTATGCAGTCCCAACAATGCCATGGGTGACCACCTTAGCATGGCCCTAGGGGATTCATAAAACCACAGAGTCCTGCACAATGCAGTTGGACAAGACTCGCCACTTAACCCAACCCAACATGGAACTAAGAAACTCACAAAACTATGTGACCAAACCTATCTCAACACTACCCCAAAGGCTCCACAAGTTTTGCACAGCCCAATGCAATACAAACCAATGGAATCTCCCCCTCAACTCAGCATAAGCCATTGCCATTCATTGTCACCTAAGGAGGTACCCACAGGAGCTACCAAACCACCACTCAAGACCCAACAAGATTTAGTGTTCCCAGCTCATTACCACCTAACTTAGTTCTTCCTAAACCCAACCCCCTCCCCCATCTTCCCCTCTGCCCTCCCTCCCACTCCCACTACACGACGACGACGCCGACCGTACCGTACCGTAACCTACCGTACCTACCGTACC